AAAATAAAATAAAAATAAAATGAAAATAAAATGAAAATAAAATAAAATAAAACCTCACATGATGGAACTTGAGGTCCTTTCTCCTTGTCATTGGAGAAGATCCCAACCCCGACCCCTCATCCCAACCTCCTTCCAGGGAGTCTTAGAGAGCAACTACCTGGAGTAGCAACATATAAGAGAGAGGAAAAGATCTAAATGTGACTGCTTATTGACTGCTTATTTTGTGTTTATCTTGCCATGATTGATGTGTTGTGCTTTGAGGAACATTAAGCTGTAACTCTTCTCTTAAAGGGTTTTAAACAGCAGATTTTTATGAACGTTTCTGTGCAACTTTATTCCCTTGGTGGCTCAAAGAAAGGGGGAGAAGAGCGGGGTGGATTAGGGGGAATCATCTCCATAATTTCCATGTGTTTTATGGTGCCACCTGTCAGACACCAGCTCAGTGATTATGGGGTCAGAACCACCTTGTGGGGGGGTTTTTGGAGGGGGAAGGGATGGGTGGAACCTCACGGAGGGGAGGTGGAGTCGTGTCCCTCAGGGCAGCCCTGGGAGCCCCCTGGGGAAGCCCTGGAGTGGCTGTCAGGGAAATCTGGAACAGCCCAGAGCTCCTGGAACCCCTCAGCCAGCAGGGACAGTGAGGACACAGCCCTATAAGACCCTATAACAGCTCCTGCAGCCCCACACCCAGCTCCCACTGGCAGAGACAGGGAGAACCCGGCCCCTCAGCCCAGCCTGGAAGCCCCACAGTGGCTGCTGGGTCAGATGGGGCCTGGAGGGGGTGGCCAGAGGGTCCAGAGCAGATAAAACCAAAGGCACATATTTGCCACATGGCCCTGCCATGGGACTGGGGAGAGCTGATCTTCTCCAAGGCTCCAGTGGTAGCTCCAGGATCTGTCTCTCCCTCTTTCTCCTTCTCCCTTCTTGCTGCCTCTGCTTCTCTTTCTCTGCTCCTTTCCTGATGCTTGGGGTGCTTTGGAGCTGGATGGAATAAGATCTTGTCTGAAGTGTGGTGCAATTGATTGGATTTTCCTTAAGTGTTGTGGATTGTTGGGATTTTGCCTTAAGTGTTGTTGGTTTATTGGATCTTGACTTAAGTGTTGTGGATGACGATGTGCTGAGTCAGTACTGTGGTGAAAAATTTTCATCCAGCTTGTGTGGTGCCCTTTTGAACTTTGGCCAAGTTCCCTTCTTGAATCCCCTCACTTAATAAAGAAATCCCTTGGGAACAAGCCCGTGGCTTATTCTCTTGGTGCTTTCTGGAGGCAGGAAAGAACCCTACAGCTCTATATTGAAGGAAAGTCCTGGCCAATGCCATGAGCTGCAGCTCCCAGGACTTGGAGTCTTGCAAGGGGTTGGAGATGGGGGTGTTGATGTTCCCTCTGAAAAGCCTTTTACCCTCATCCGTGATCATTGTGGGTAGTTTTCTTTGCCTGCTTTTCGTACTCCTACTTCCTTGGCTTCCTCCATGCCACAGCAAGGAGCTGGTCAGGGAGGATTAGTGTTTTTGCAAACTCCTGCCTTGTTTGGGGTGCTCTTGTAACCCTGAGTGAACTTGTGTTCCTTGAGAGCTTCTATCCCTGCCCAGAATTCTTATATTCTGATTCCCTCCTAGAAAAGCATTTGCAAACAAAACAATGCCCAGTTGTTTTGCCTTTATTCATGTTTTGAAGTTGACTTGCAATGGACCACGTGAAGGCAAATGAGTTGCAGGTTTGAGATAGGAAGCAAACGTCCAAATAGTTGATGTTCTCGGGTCCTCCCAATTCAGTGACATTGGGAAGTTTGCAACTTCTTTCAGCTCCTTGTGTTGAGGAATGGGAAGTCAGGCTTTCCTGAATGTAGCATGAAACAATGCCACATTCTTCTGGGTCATCCCAGCCAAGGTGTTTTTGTGCTGCAGGTCACAACTCCCATGAAGAAATGATGTCAGGAAGGAGCCACAGCTTCTACCTTGACACAGATGCCAAGCCTTGCCCCCAGTGGCTGCAGCTGCTTTAGGGAATGGATTCCTTCCACACTGGGGCAGGTTGGCCGGGCTGGGGGAGGCCCCAGGGCCCGTGGCAGTGTGTCACAGGGCCCTTTGTGACAGGGTGGCCGTCGGCCAGGGGATGGGACGGTGTCCTTTGTGACACGTGGTGATAAAGGTGTTGGCGGCAACGCGGCCACGGCACCGTGCTCGGAGCGGGCGACTGGGCAGGACGGGACAGAGCGGTGCTGTGAGGAGCCTCCTCACAGCCAACTCCTTTCTCGTCGACCAGGAGCGTTTCTGAGAGTTCTGAGAGCTTTCTTTTGAATAACATCCCTCGAGGCCAGACCCCAGGAGTTGGGACCCCGGAGCGTTTCTCAGGTGACCCCACTCCCTGTGGGAGTGGCCCTCGAGGCCAGGCCACGGGCCTTGGTGACCCGGAGCTTTTCCGAGGAGTCACCAGTGCCTGTGGCAGTGGCCCTTGAGGCCATTTTCTAAGACTTTACCACCAGGGGCTTTTCCAATCCATCAGCAGCCCCTGTGGCAGTGGCCCTTGAGGCCATTTTCTAAGACTTTGCCACCAGGGGCTTTTCCAAGCCACCACCAGCCCCTGTGGCAGTGGCCCTTGAGGCCATTATTTGAGACTTTGCCACCAGGGGCTGTTCCTACCCATCCCCAGTCCCTGTGGCAGGAGCCCCGCAGGCCATTGTGTCACCCTTGGCCGCCAGGGGTTTTTCCGAGGTTTCTCTCCCGCAGGTGCCCTCGAGACCAGACTGTGCCATGGCGGGGGGATGCTTCGGCCTGTGCCCGCTGCTCCGGAGGAACAGGAACAACAGGAGAGGCCCTGGAGCTGGCCCAGCACAGGAAGAGGAGGAGGAGGAGGTGCAGCCCTTCCAGCCACTGCAGCAGGGTGAGTGCTGGAGCTGGGCCCCTTCCCGTCCCCTCTGGACATGCCCAGGGAAAGGGAGGGGGAAAGGGGAGCCAAGGCTGATCCCCCCGGCATCCGTGCTCCATCCCCTGGGCATCCCAGGGCTGGCCCTGCCTGTGGAGTGCAGGGCTGGGCTGTGTTCTCTGGCCTCTCCCGCGGCCCCTCAGCTCTGACTGCGCTCGCTCTTTGCCAGATCCAGGCCGGGACCGCCCAGAAGAGCAGGACCGCGCCCGTGGCCGCTTCCGCAGGGCAGTTCAGGTACCCGCAGCCATCCCCCCCTGGGCTGGGCCTGCTGTCCCTGCTCCGCCTGGCACCGCTGGCAGAGCACTCCAGGCCACTTCCCTCTCTTCCCTGCCCTTTCTTCTCCTGCAGAGGTTGCTGAGATTCGTGGGAGTTCGGCGCAGAACAGCCACGACCGCACCGCCCGAGCTCACGGCACAGCCTGACACCAGCGCAGCCGAGCTCGAGGCGGAGCCTGATGGGAGCAATGCAACGAGTGACTGTGCAGCCAGTGGTGACCTGGCACCAGTTGACTCTGCAGCCAGCGGTGACATGGCACCTATAGAGTGTGCAGCCAGTGGTGACATGGCACCAGTTGACTCTGCAGCCAGCGGTGACATGGCACAAAATGATTTTGAAGCCAGCGGTGACATGGCACCAATGGACTCTGCAGCCAGCGGTGACATGGTACCGACTGATGTCACAGCAATCTCTGACACAGCAGCGATTGATGTCACAGAGACCACCGACATGGCAGCAACCGATTGTGCAGCCAACTGTGACGTGGCACTGGTTGAGAGCACGGCAACCTGTGACATGGCACCATCCGATGGCACAGCCACCTCTGACACGGCACCAATGGATGGCAGAGCCACCTGTGACACATCACAGATCAAGGGCACAGAAACCTCTGACACAGCACCAGTCGAGGGCACAGAGATTTTTGTCCTGGCACACATGGATGGCACAGCCACCAGTGACACAGCACAGATCGAGGGCATAGAAACCTCTGACCTGGCATCGATGGATGGCACAGACACCTTGGACATGGCACCATCTGATGGCACAGCCACCTCTGCCATGGCACAGATAGAGGGCACAGAAACCTCTGACATGGCACCAATCGATGGCACAGAAGTCTCGGACACAGCACCAGTTGAGGGTGACATGGAATCAACTGATGTCACAGCAACCTCTGACACAGCAGTGGTTGATGGCACAGAGACCACCGACATGGCAGCAATCGATTGCGCAGCCATCTGTGTTGTGGCACTGGTTGACAGCACAACAACCTGTGACATGGCACCATTTGATGGCACAGCCAATTCTGCCACAGCACCAATGGACGGCACAGACAGCTCTGACACAGCGCAGACTGAGGACATAGAAACCTCTGCCATGCCACCAATGGATGGCACAGCCACCTGTGACATGTCACAGATCGAGGGCTCAGAAACCTCTGACATGGCACCAGTCGAGGGCACAGAAATTTTTGACCTGGCACAGATGGATGGCACGGAAACCTGTGACATGGTACCATCCGATGGCACAGCCACCTCTGACACAGCACTGATGGATGGCACAGAAACATCTGACCTGGCACCAGTTGAGGCCACAGAAATTTTTGACCTGGCACTGATGGATGGCACAGCCACCTGTGACACCGCGCTGACCGACACCGAGACCAGCTCTGACACGGCACCAACTGATGTCGGGGCTGACGACACGACTGAGGGCATCGCAGACACTGACTGCATGCCCACGCAGAGTGTGACTGATGCTCCCAGTGTGGACGTTTTGGAGGAGAAAACTGTCTCCAATCCAAATGAAGTAAGCAGCCTGTGGCCAGGGCTCCAGCCCCCCAGGGGTCTTGTGGCCATGGAGCCTTTGAGGCCAGCAGAGTGTGGTGGGAAGGGAAGCCCTTCCCACACCAAGCTGGGCAACCTGCTGGCTCTGGCAGCTCTCCAAGTGTCCCCCACTCCCCTCCAGGTGCCGGCCAGCGTCAGCCCCATCCACCAGTGGCTCACGTGCCGGGAGTCTGCAGAGGTCAGGCCGCCCATTGCCATCCGCAGGCTGGCCCAGGCACACCCTGGGCAGGTGGTGACGACTCTCCTGTGCTGTGCCCCAGCGTGTGACAGGTACAGGGCCCAGCTGCTTTGCTGCCTCAGGGCTCACCAGCCTTTCCAACCCAGCCCCCTGCCCAGCCTGTCCCTCCTGCTCTGACAGACTCACCCACAGTTCCAGGACCCTCTGGCCCCTCCAGTTCCCAACCCTGACCTGTCAGTCCCTGATCCTGCTGCCATGTGCCCTCCCTGCCCCTCAAGGCACCGTGGCTCTATCACCTGGGCCCCCACAGCTGCCACGGCCCAGACCCCCCTGACCCAGAGTTCTGGCTCCACAGAGCTGCTGCAATCCTGTGGAGGACCATCGCCTCCTCGGCCACCACAGCGCACAAGGTGCTGCCAACACTGCTGGGGGTGATGGAGGACTGGCCACTGCACAGCGTGTCCACCTCCAACGGAGACCACACGGACGTCTTTGCCCTGGCTGTGAGTTTCTGGAAGTGGCCTTTGCTCCTCCCCACGTCGCCTCTGCAGCGACTCTCCATCCTCCCCCACTGCTGCATCTCCCTTGGGCTGCAAATGGGGCTGAGGGGCAGGTTCAGGGGGAGCAGGCCGGCTGCTCCCCCTGGCTCTCCCTGGCCTCTCCCTCCCTCTGGCCACTGATGATGTGTCTGTGTGGCTTTCTTGCAGGCAACCCTGGCCCTGTGGCTGATGGTCCAGGAGCCCCAGTGCCAAGATGCACTCTTGGTTCATGCCCCTCGTCTCCTCCTGGCTCTGCTCTGCCAAGTTTCCATGAGCACAGAGCAGATGCCACAGGAGGTCAGCACCTTCTGGAGGGGAGTCCAGGAGCAACACGGCCTTCCCACCCAGCCCAACAGGTGCTCCATGCCCGTCCCCTCTCCCTGCCGTGCCCTGGGGGCTGGGGCCAGGGCTCCCAGCATGACGTGGCCTTTGCTCTGCACACAGCTTTGTGGTCCAGACCATCCAGGCCCTGCTCTGGCGGCTGCAGTGGGACCAGGAGCTGGTGTCAGTGGAGTGCAAGCGTGGCTGGGACGCGCTGCTCTCTGCTGACACCCACCACTACGCAGTGGGGCTGCTGGCCAGGTGAGACAGCCTTGTCCCCGCTGCCCCCGGCACCTCTGCCCTGGGCACGGGGCAGCCCACACAGCCCCCGTGGGCGTGGGACAGAGGGCCTTGGCCCCAAGGGACGGCCCAGCCAGTCCCAGCAGAGCTTTGCTCCCCCGACTCAGGGCCGAGGGTTCCCTTTTTGCCCTGACAGGGAGATGCGGCGCGTGTTGGTCCCCTCCTATGGCCCGCTGGCAAGGCACCTGCTGGGGCTGCTCAGCAGGGAGGGGCCCCGCTGGGAGCTGCCTGCCCTGGCCTTCCTTGTCGAGGTGAGCCTGATGGCCAGCGCTGCCTGGCCCGCCTGCCTCCCCCTCTCTGCCCTCTGGCAGCCGCAGCTGCCCGGGACGGTGCCTGCGCCCTGTGCTGCTGCCTGGGCACAGCCCTGGCCGGCTCCGCGCTCCTGCCGCCCGGCCACCCCGGCACTGCTCTCTGCCTTCCAGGTCCTCGACTATCTGGACGTCAGCACCTGTCACGACAGTGTCCTGCGGATCCTGGCAAGGCACCTGCAGAGCCAGTGCCCAGAGAGGCGGCGCCTGGCTCTGCGAGGGCTCCTGGTGCTCAGCGTGGATCCCTCCATGGTGAGAAGGGGGCAGGGGCTGAAGCCACACAGGCAGCCTGGGGCTGGGCAGGGCAGTGGCTTGGCTTTGGCTGGGCTTCGGGAGCTGCTCCCAGCTCTCCTGCCTCCCTCTGCAGCTGCCCAGGCCCTGTGGGACAGGCCTTTGGCCTCTGGGCCCCGGGGCAGCAGCGTGGGCTTGCAGTGCCAGAGTGGGGTTGGTGGGGCAGCTGTTCAGGGCTTCCCAGCACAGCCTTGTGTTCCACACAGGCCAAAGGAATCTGCAGCCTGTCTGAGCACCTCCTGGAGCTGCTGTGTGATGGAGATGGAGAGCTGGTCACAATGACCCTCTCCCTGTTCCGGAATGTGCTCCAGGATGAGGAAGACAGAGATGCGTTCAGCTCCACTGCCCCGAGGCTGGCTGAGGCGCTCCGGCCAGTCTTTGACAACGTAAGGCTCTGTGCTCAGCCACAGATGCTGGGTGCTGCCAGGAAATTTTCAGGTCTGTACATGGGGGGTGTGGATCAGGCAGTGCTGAGTTCTTTGTGTCTTCTTTGGCCCCAGGACAACAGCCACGTGCAGCTGCTGTCCATTCGCCTCTTCCGAGAGGTGATGGAGTTGCTGGCGGAAGAGGGAACAGAGCCCTGGGAGATGCAGGTGCGCCAGAGCCTGGTCCCACTGTTCTTCCGCTGGCAGGACGAGAACCAGCGCGTGGCAGAGGTGAGCACTGTTGGGCTCTGGTGTCCTCGGGCCAGGGGCTGGGCTGCCTCCTGCCCTGGGGCCTCAAGGGCTCCAGCCTCCTGCTGGCCTTGGAGCAGGGACGCAGGGGCTGTGCCCTGGGCTCTGGTGCCATGTCCCGCTCTCTGCTGCTCTGCAGGCCGCTCGGGAAGCGCTGCTCTGGGCTGCAAGCTTCCTCCACAGGAAGGACCTGGAGCAGCTGCTGAAGACGGAGCAGCCCTTCAGGTTCTGTGACTGCCTGGTAAGGACGAGCGCCAAGGCCCAGCCCCAGGCTGGAGAAGCCCCCGATGCCCAGTGTGCGGGGCTGGCCCTGTGCCCCTGCCCACTGCTGCCCCACAGACACCCCCCTGCTCTCTGCAGATGGAAAAGGACGTGAGCGGAAGGGGCGAGCACCTGCAGCAGGCCCTGCCCTACCTGCAGAGCCCACAGGAGCCCCTGCGAGAGGCGGCCGTCAGGTTCATGGGTGAGCCCCAAGGCCGCGGTCCCTCCCCGTCCCGCTGCAGCTCGGCCCCGGCCCCGGCTGGGGGGAGCTGTGCCCCTGGGGCCCTGACAGCCTCTGTGTTCCCAGGGGTCGCCGGCTGGCGCATGAGGGAGGAGCAGCAAGACCTGTGGCCCATCCTCAAGGGTGAGTGAGGGCAGCGGGGCCTCCCTGGGGGCTGCCGGGGACCAGCACAGACCCTGGGCAGGGAGCTGCAATCCCTGTCCGCCTGCACAGGGCTCTGCTCCCTGCACGCCGTGGCCAGAGCACACACACGTGGCAGGGGCAGGGTGCCCATGGGTGCCCAGCACCTTCCCGCTCATCCTCTTGGCCCCTGCTCCCTCCTGGCCGTGCCAAGAGCTGCCCGGCATGGCCCTGGCAGGAGGGGCTCCTGGGGTCCCCGCACAGCCGCGCTCTGACCCCGGCTCCCTTCCTCTCTCTTCCAGCCCTTGCAGCCATGAGCGAGGACGACTGCCCCTCCACATCCAGCATGAGAGCTGCATTCATGGCCACTTACAGCCGTGCCATGAGAACTCCACCTGCCCCGCTGAGACGACCAATGTCCCTGCAACAGCCCCCCACCACAGCCCAGGGACCACTTCTCAGCGCGGCTGCAGCTCCAGCTGATGCTGGGCCCAACTGAGCCAGCCCGCAAGGCCAGGTAGCTCCTGGCCTCTGCAACCCCAGGGATGGCTCCCTCCTTCCATTCCCTTCCCCTGACCCCGTTTCATCCTTCCCCTACCCCTGATGTAAATAAACCCTGGCTTTCTCCCCCTTATCTGCGTCTTGGTGCAACTGAAAGGGCACAAACCCTCAGCCCTGCAGCTCATGGGTCGCTCCTGCCTCTCTTTTGCCCCTCGTGCCGTGGGCACACACCCCCAGGGACACGGGCACTTCAGGCTGCAAAGGGGCTTGTCCTGAAGGGCCACTTCCACAACAGTGCACTGCAAGATTTTCCTGGACACACTGAAAGCCAGGAGGCTGGATCTGGGAAACATCCTGGCAGCAAGAGGAGCTACAGCTCGAGGACCTCTTCTCCAAGGACCACAAGTCATTCAGCCTTGCCAGGGTTTCTTAAGGGTGTGCTGGGGTTCCCAAAGGAAACAACAGACTTGGGTCATCCCTGGGGAGGCAAGGAGCTTTCTTCCCAAGGAAAGTGCTTCCC